GTTCAGTATCTGGAGAATTGGTAATTGTATTGAACATTGTACAGTCATCAGAGAACAACTGACTTTTTGATGTAGCAAAGGCCATTTAAGAAGCAACTGCAGATATTTGGGTCTCTGACACTGCCCTGAGAAACTTCTGCAGTCCTGGGTCTGAGAAATTAACCTCCAGCAACCAAAACTTATCTTCCTTTACGATATGTATGATTCCAACCAGTAGAGAGCTTTCTCTCTGATTCCCATTGACTCCAAATTTTGGCTCAGAAGATCATTTACTGGGATCAATATATTGAAGATTAAAAATAGCAGGAGTTAGAAAATGCTGATGATGAAAGTTTGCAGGTCCCAGAACAATGTTTACACTGTTAGAGAGATCATTGAACAAGAAATTATTGGTATGTGTAACAAAGGTAATGTAATAATTGGCGATCAAATTAACAAGGATAGTCTAAAAGGTGAGTTTTTAGAATGTTTTCGTAACATGTGGAACCACCTAAGGACAAAAGCATTTTAGATCTAATATTATATGTTACAACATGTTTAATTATTAATTACAAAAGATCTGCTGGGAACTCATGATCTAATACAATTACATTCCATGTTACCTTTGAAAAGAACAGTGCCAAACAGAAACAAGATTCTTAAAATTAAACAACCAATTGAATTGGTATGAGGGTAGAATTAGCTGTCTGGGGATTTGGAGATCGATTGATAATTTGTTTTTATGCATTTGTGGAAAATGTGCTTTGCTGACTGTTCAATCCTGGTTGCCCTTGTCAAGTTAGAGGTGAGCTGTCTTTTTGAACTACTGCAGTCCATTTAGGATAATTAAATCCACAGTGCTATTAGGGAGGGGGTTCCAAGTTTTTGACCCAGAGACATTGAAGTAACAATGAAATATTTCCAAGTCAGGATAGTGAGTGGCATGGAGGGGAACTTGCAGGATGTGGTGTTCTTGTGAATTTGCTGCCCTTGTCGTTCTAGATGGCAGTGGTTGTGGGTTTGTAAGGTGCTTTCTAAGGTGAGTTGTTGCAGTGTATCTTGTAGATGGTGCACACTGCTGCTACCGCCCCTTTGAGGTGTGGGGAATGAATGTTTGTTGATATTGTGCCAATCAAGGGGCTGCTTGGGAGCTGCACTCACCCAGATACGTGCCTTATAGACAGTGGACAGACTTTGGGGAGTCAGGAGGCGAGTTTCTTTCTCTAGGATTCCTAGCATCTGACTTGCTCTTGTAGCCATAATATTTATATAACTGGTCCAATTCAGTTTCTGGTCAATGGTAGCTCCCAGGATGTTGAGCGTGGGGTGTCATTGATGGTAATGGCAGTGAATGTCAAGTGGTAACGGTTAGATTCTCTCTCTGGAGATAGTCAGTGCCTGACATTTGTGTATCACAAATGTTACTCGCCATTTGTTAGCTCAAAATTGGATTTTGTCAAGGTCTTGCTGCAAGTGGATGCAGACCACTACAGCATGTGAGGAGTCACAAATGATGCTGAACGTTGTGCAATCATCTACAAATCTCTCCACTTCTGACTTTATGATGGAAGGAAGGTCACTGATGCAACTAGGTGGTGATTGTTAACCTATCCTGAAGAACTCGTGCAGAGATGTCTTGGAGTTGAGATGAATAATCTCTGACATCTGCACAACCATCTAACTTTGTGCCAGATATGACTCCAACTAATGCGGCCTTGATGTCAAATTGACTAAAACGTATGGAGGATAAGGATTTGAAGCCTAATAATCATGATGATATTGAATAGTACAGTAGGTTTGGTGGACTATTTCGTCTTTGTTATTACTATTTCTTACTATTGGTCCTGCAAAGTGCTTTGAGACATTTTACTACATTTGGCCATTAAATGCAAGCTATTGTTACTGTAGAAAAGAAGAATGAATTGAAGAACCCAAAATAAATGCAGAGCTGAATACTTAGTGGCTACATTGGAGATCATCAAGGTTGCAAACAATGCAGGATGAGTGATTTTTAACTCAAAGAAGACAGCAACTGGTGAAATATAAGCTATTAGTAGAAAAATAAAAAGGTGCAGATAGAAATGCCCCTTTTAGGTTTGCATCAAATTGACTTTTTAATTTTGACTTGTGAATAATTTTCTTACCCTTATTATATTGGAGTAAAAACACGATAATTAAATACGAAGGAAATACCTGACAAATTGTCTTTGCTAACTTGCCACTTTCTATCTGATCAATCCAGGCTATCGACCTATTTTGGATGCCATGAAGTCTTTTGTAAAGAACGCAGACACAAAGCTGAGAGGTTCCTTCATTGATATAGAGGTAAAACTGAAACTGTTATGATTTAAAATTTAGTTTTTTGTTGATAATGTTATTATATTGAGATGTTACATAGGCCACTAGGTATAGCAGCAGAATTAGACTATTCGGCTCATCGAGTCTGCACCACCATTCAGTCATGGCAGATATGTTTTTGAACCTCCTTCTCCCGCCTTCTCCCTACAATCCTTGATCCCCCTACCAATCAAGAACCGATGTATCTCTGTTTTAAATACATTCAATGACATAGCTTCAACAGTCCTCTGCGGAGATGTGTTCCACAGATTAACCACACTGAAGAAATTGCTCCTCATCTCAGTTTTAAAGGGCCATCCCTTCTTCCCGAGGCTGTGTCCTCGGGTCCTAGTCTCTCCTACTATTGGAAACATCTTCTCCGTGTTCACTGTATTCAGGTCTTGCAGTATTCTGTAAGTTTCAATCAGATTCCCCCCTCATCCTTCTAAACTGCACTTAGTACAGACCCAGAGTCCTCAACCGCTCCGCATATGACAAAGCCTTCATCCCCACAATGATTCTTGTAAACCTGCTCTGGACCCTCGCCAATGCCAGCAGATCCTTCCCTAGGTACGGGGCCCAAAACTGCTCTCAATATTCCAAATGCTGTCTGACCAGAGCCTTATACAGCCTCAGCAGTACATCTCTGTTCTTGTATTCTAACCCTCTTGAAAGGAATGTTAACATTGCATTTGACTTCCTAACTGCTAACTGAGCCTGCATGTTAATCTGAAACGAATCCTAAATTAGGACTTCTAATTCCTTTTGTGCTTCAGATTTCTGAAGCCCCTCCTGATTTAGAAAATAGTGTATGCCTCTACTCTTCCAGCAAAGTGCATAATCTCACACTTTCCCACATTGTGTACTATCTGCAACTTCTTTGCCCACTCTCCAAGCCTGTCCAAGTCCTTCTGCAGCCTCCCTGCCACCTCATTGCTACCTGTCTCTCCACCTATTTTGTGTGATTTGCAAACTTAGTAACAATTCCCCTCAGTGCCTTCGTCCAGATCTTTAGTTTATGATGTGAATAGTTGTGGTCCCAACACTGACCCCTGTGGAACCCCATAAGTCACAGGGTGCCATCCTGAAAATAACTCATTTTTATCCATTTTCTCCCTTCTGCCAGTCAGCCAATCCTTTGTCCAAGTTAATACCTTGCCCCTAATACAATGGTCTCGTATCTTATTTAGCAGCCTCCTGTGCAGCACTTTGTCAAAGGCTTCTAAAAAATTCCAAATAGCTCATGTCGACTGGCTCTCCTTTGTCGAGCTTGCTTGTTATTTCTTCAAAGGGTTCTAATAGATTTGTTAGGCATAAGCTACCTTTGTTGAAGCCATGCCTGCTCCACCCTGTTTTACCTTGCACTTCCAAGTACTCTGCATTCACAAAATTAATAATGGACTGGAAAATCTTACCAACAACCAAGGTCTGGCTAACTAGCCTATAGTTTCCAGTCTAGAGCTGGATGAACACAGCAGGCCAAGCAGCATCAGAGGAGCAGGAAAGCCGACATTTCGGGTCGAGACCCTTCTTCAGAAATTCAGATTTCTGAAGAAGGGTCTCGACCCAAAACGTCAGCCTTCATGCTCCTCTGATGCTGCTTGGCCTGCTGTGTTCATCCAGCTCTACAC